CCCCCAGCTGAGCGGGAGCTCCTGCCGCTGAGCTGGGGGGAAATGCCGGCATGGCCCCATTTTCGGCCAGCTGATCAGCAGTTCCAAAATGGCCACCGGCTGTGTTGCCTCACTTAGAGGCACCGAAAATGGCCGCCCCTATGGAGGATTTCCGCTTAGCGGTGCGTTTTCCCCCCATAGGAACACATTAAACAGGGTTTAATGCGTTCCTATGGGTTTTTTTGCCCTGTATAGCTACAAATCCGGATAGCGACGATTTATCTGGAACGGATTATCGTCGCTATGCGGGGCACCACTGTATCCTATTTTTAATGTGTTTTTAAATGCTTTCATATTTCTTAATTTGTTTTTATATGATGATTCTAATACTTTAATATTTAATCATTTTAATTTTTTATTTTAATTTGTGTGTTTTTTAATGATCTGTAAGCACCTTGAGTCCCATTGCTGGAAGAAAGGCAGCATAGAATTGCAGTAAAGAAAGAAAATAAATTGTAATATTTATTTTTCAAATTGCTTGCATTCTGAGATAGTTTGGCTTAAAATAGAATCCTGAAGTGACTTGTTCCCGATGTTATAACCCAACGCAATCCCAGGGGTTGAAGCAGAACATTTTCTCTAGTATACCTTGCCCTAGATATCTTGAATGTACAGTGTAATACTAAGTCATGTTATATATCTGAAGTAATTTCCAGTATTTATCATTCATTCTGCCTAATGTCCAAGATTCTGTTCAGATTTGCAAGAGGAGTCATTTAATGTGCCATAATTGATGGTTGCTAATCGACAAGGTGTATGACATGTGCTGGCTATGCAATTGATAGCACAACTAAGCATGTGCCTGGCATGGGTCTAGCACTTCATCAGTTGGTCATGACAACTTACAACATATTTTTCTTCTGGATGAGTAAAGTCCCAACAGCAGTTTGGCCCATGCCTCCCTTGTCTCAAGCTACCATTACTTTGCTGCTTGCATTAAACTTGCAACCCACTAACAGGGGTGGGCAAAATGAGGCCCTCCAGATGTTGCTGAACTCCAAATCCCATAATTCTTAGCCCACACAGCCAATAGTGAGGAGATTTGGGCCTAGCCCACATAGTGAGGAATGTTGGGATTTGCAGTTCAGGAACATGTGGAGGGCCGCACTTTGCCCAGGTCTGCACTAGTATGCGGGTTAAAACTTAACTTGAGCTAGTAAAGTTTCATATTACAGAGGATTTCCTTGACATACATCACTGATGGGGAAGATATGGTTCTCCACATATTCCTGCAGAGCAACTTCCATCATCTGTCATCATTGACTGTCCCAACTTGGACTGATGGAGGTTGTTATTTAAATAAGACCTGGAGGGTCACACATCTCCCACCTTTGATGCACATGTTTCTTTGTTTTTATGTAATTAACTCATTAGGTTTCCATTTTTCATAGAAAGACGTCAGGGATATCCTGGCTCCTATACTTGTTGAAGCCACCTATCGCCTTGGAGATCATGTTTTAAAGAAGCAAACTACAGATGAACTGCCACCACTCCAGCCAGTTCTTCAACAACGGAAAGAGGGCAATGTTACACGCAGCAAAGTAAGACTTGGTATCACAGTGGATTGGATTTAATTCAAACTGATTTATAGAATCATGGAATCAGTGATTGGAAGGGCCCTATTAGGTCATTGAGTCTAAGCCTCCTGCTCAAGGTAGGAATACAAATCAAAGTAGATCTGCCAGGTGGTTGTCTAAATTTTCTTTTGAGTGCCTCTAATGTTGGAAGCATTCACCACCTTCTGAGGTATCTGGTTCCGTTGTCATACATTTAAGAAGGTTTTCCTCATATTCAGCCTAAATCTGGCTTCCTGTAACTTGAGTCCATTATTAAATCACGATGTAAATAGAAAAATAGATTTTTTTGAAGATTCAAATTAAAAAATTGATTTGATTTAAAAAAAACATTGATTTTTATCCATCCTATACGGTATGGGCTACGTGTGTAATTACAAAGTGTTTGTAACCAGAAGACATGATAATCCAAGTATATATTTTATAGGACAGTTTAGCACAGAGACAAGTCAGCCTAAATAGTAAAGAAATAAAGAAAAGGGAATTCTGGAAGATGGTGTTATAAATATTGTTTTAATGTTGCTATCACAGATACTTTTGTATGGGCATTGAATTAGACTGAAATTCAAATTATGCAGTTTTATTTTTGCATTCTTAGTAAAATTGTATTTGTACTGTTTGCCAGCCTGGGAACTCTTGGGAGCTGGAAGTGTGGGATGTAAAATTACCAAATGCATACCTGCATGTGTTTAGGTGGACGTTGCCTGCCCTATATATTTCTGAGGGACTAAATAACTGCCTCAAGATTACCCTCGTTCATTCCTGGCAACATTGTGGTAGAAATATTGTTGATTGTAGAACTGTCACACATGCCATTGTACAAGGAAGTAATACACAAGAGGGACAGTCAGCCCAAATCATGTACTGTATTTACTAGTAACATGGAACTCCATATTATGCTCGCCATTGTTATTTTTCAAGTGCGCATAAGATTGCAAAGACCACAGATGGATGAAATCTTTCCATTTTGCTTTTTCCTGTGTTCAGATTTTTAAAGAACGTCATGTTCATTCTGTCCTGAATACGTGATCTCAATATTTTGGTAAAATATTCAAAAATGAACTGAGAGGAAATTCTGTTCCATTTCATTGGCCAAATTGAATCAATACTTCTGTTTTCATCTTGGAAGGACCATGTTGTACCTACCTGCCATATAGATACGTATCAAAGATCACGAAAAAGGAAAAGCAGAGGCACAATTGGACACTTGCGTGATTGAATACACGTGGTTTGAAACCCAAAGTTTTAAGAACTAACCACTTAAAAGCTCTCTGCCCAGATGGCCAAATCTGTTATTTGGGTTTCGTTTTTTTTTAAATTTCCACTTCTCTCTATTCCAAATAGTCCTGGAAAAAATGTGTAGCCTAACCTAGGAGATCTTTAAAAACAAATGGAGTTGTTCCTGTGAATAGAGAGTCAAAAGAGTAATCTATCGCCGTTCCTAAGACATTTCAAATAATGATTAATAAATAAGTGTATTTGTATGGATCCCTTTTCTCCTTGCATCATGGCAGATATATTTATTTTCTGTTTTACTCTTGAGTTTTCTAAAACAGAGACTGAAAAGGCAGTTGCTAAGAATTTAACAAAACCCCCTCTAGATTAATATTTATTTCCACTGACAAATACTATTGTAAGGAAAAAGTAAAGGATTTGGTTCTTCGTCTCATAAAGCTGCTTAGTAAAATCAAATGCATTATGGAAAAATAAAACAAAACAAAACACAAAAGTAACTTCCTGGTGTGGTTTCCACGTTGAGTGGCAAAGCAGTTTAACAAACCAGTTTCTTATCCAATTCTTTCAAAAATCATTTCATTTAGTAGAAATCGTCCTGTCTCATAACTCAACAGGAGGGCTGTCGTTAGAAAGAGCAAGCTGACTTCGAATGTCTTGGAAGGGCAGCAAACCATTAGCATTTATTTGATTACTACTGTATATTTCCTATACAGAGCATGTGAGAGATGATCGGCCTCCAATGCCGAAATATCCAGGCCAGCTCTGGGTACCATATTCCTAAACGGAGCCTTAGAGGGTTTGTGGCTGCTGGGTACAGCCTGTCTTGGGCTTTCCTTGTCCTCTATGCCTAGATATCATCATTAGTCCATCTCATAGAAACAACATGGCAAGGCAGCTGCCCGTGGCAGTCATCTCTCAGTTGAGAAGACTTGACTTAGTCATGGATGGCCAGAGTGGTTCTAATTAGGTCCTTTTGTTTTTAAAAGCCACATTATCGTCTCATGTGTCGTCTCAGTCTGAAAAACTCCTTGAGGGCTTTCTGTCTGAAGTCCCAAACTTTGGCGTAAAGGAATGAGGAAGGAAGGAAGGAAAGGAAGCCAGTAGCAAAATACTATTAATAGTTCGGGGCTTCATGATTAACAGCTATATGAATTGTGGTAAAGCCACCTTGCATTCTTTTAAAGAGAAAGGTGGGGTAAAAATATTCTAAATACAGTGGTGCCTCGCTTAACAGGCGCTCCATTTAGCGAAGAAACTGCATAGCGATGTTTTTGCGATCGCAAAAGCGATCGCATTGCAATGTTTCCTATAGGGTTTTTTCGCTTTGCGATGATCGGTTCCCAGTTTCGCTTACCGATCATCACAAAGCGGTTATTTTTTAACAGCTGATAGGTGGTTCCAAAATGGCCGCCGGGTAAAAAAAATGGCTGCCTGCTGTGTTTTTGCACGGATTCCTCGCTTAAGAGGCAGCAAAAATGGCTGCCGTATGGAGGATCTTTGCTTTAAGGCCAGTTTTTTGCCCATAGGAATGCATTAAACAGATTTTAATGCGTTTCTATGGGCTTTTTAAAATCGCATAGTGACAAAATTGCTTAGCAGCAATTTTTGCTGCACAGATTAACATTGCTATGCGAGGCAGCACTGTAAATAAATAAATTTCTCATCAGATACTTTGTATTTGAATATGAAATAATGCTTGTTTTTGTTCTTTTAAGTTTGTGTTTGCAAGGTTTTGTCCTCAAGAAAATTGTTCTGCTGACTTGCAAGTTTCTGGGAAACTTTCCTTTCCAAAGTAAGTTGACTGTGATTTTTAAGTGATTCAGAAGTCTAAATAAGCTGTATAGACTTCCTTTTCTGTCTCAGCAAAAAATAGACTCTTAGTTCTCTGAACAAATGGATTGCTAAATGATTTCCAGAGGCACGGTACCTATAAGGACTTAATCTGATCTAACACGAGAGATTCCACAGGTTCGGTGGGGCTCCCCCTTGCCCCATGAGTCCTTCATACTGTCCTGAACCCTGTTTAGGAGAAGGTTTTGAGAGGCTATGGAAAGGTAGAGGAGGGAGGAGAGGGGGTCACGCGCCCCTCTTTTTTCCACTTAAGGAATCTCTTCCATTAGTGGGACAGTCCCCACAGACCAGGCCCTTCTGTGGGATATTATTAAATACGTGGAACTGGTGTGTGCGGCTGCAGCCTCTGCCAAGGTGGCACTGTAAACACTGGGACTGGTGTGTACACATGAACAGGTTGCTTTGTATAAGATAACAGGTCTGTAAAAGCCATTTGTCAACAGTTTATGTGGATGAACTTTTCTGTTGCCCTGAAAATCTGTACTGTTATTGGCACATTAATATCTTTGTAAAAATGGACTCAACGCTGATGTTTTAATTATTTTTTTTTAAGTAAGCTTTTTAGCTGCTCATGTTAAGATACAAGACTGGGAAAGGTTAAGAGAGGAGACATGAAAATATCAAACAGAAACATCAGGGCTTTGTCACCACAGTTGGCATGGTATCCGGAATGAGTCATTAAAAAGAAGAAATTAGAAGCGTGTGCCTGCAGGCTGGGTCGGTGAGGTTTATTGTTCATGTTGAACGCTAACAAGACGTGTCCAGTCTGTGTGCTAGAATTCACGTACTTGCATAGAACACTGGCAACGTGTGAGTGTTCGTATGTTCAGCTAAAAAGAGTGAATAATTTAGCACATCCCTCCCACATGTGTTCTTTTGATCTTTAAACTCTAGCGAACACACACACATCTTATGCACAACATGGGCAGATCAAGGTATAAACAACTGGGTTCACTGCTTTCACATCACCTGGACAAGTGTGTGAAACATTGTCTTGAGTCATCTACCAAGAACTGGCTTATTTCATCTGTAAATGCTACATTTCTCACCTGTGAACATCACGTTTTCTATAAGTTAGGCTGTAACATTCCTTTCTCCCCTTCTTGGACACCTTAATGTGGGGAAAGGGTTTGAGTGTGTCAGTGAAGATGAGAGCAGTGCCATCAGGAGGCCAGACCTCATGATGGGTCTGGACCCCAAGGCAGGGTGTTCATGGCTGAGGCACCAAACTAAGATACATCCAGGCGGCAGCAGTAGTTGAAGGTGACACGGGCAGAGGAGGCAGCAGCAGTGACAATCAACAAATCTCAGAATTAGATCACTCTATGCTTGATAGACTACAGTAACATCTTTGTGTGGATCATGAAAAACTGTAGCTTGTTCTCAAAGGAATGAGTGTGCCTCAGCACTTGATTGTCCCAATGCATAACCTGTATTGTGAACAAGATGCTGCTGTTAGTACAGAATGTGGAGAATGGTTTCCCATAGGCAAAGGTGCCAGAGAAGGCTGTCTTCTATCCCCTTATCTGTTCAGCCTGTACACAGAACATACGATATGGAAAGCGAGATTAGACTCAGATGAAGGAGTGAAAATTGGTGGAAGAAACATCAATAATGTAAGATATACAGACAGCACCATCTTACTGGCAGAAAGCAGCAATGGCTTGAAAGAACTTTTAATGAAAGTGAAAAGGTGCCAAAGAAGGGCTGCAGTTGAACGTTAAGAAAGAAAGCATCGTGACTACAGTAGAACTGCAGAACTTTAATACTGACAATGAAGAAATTGAAATTGTTAAAGATTTTGTTTATCTTGTTTGGATCATCAGTCCAAATGGAGACTGCAGCCAAGAAATCAGAGGAAGACTGAGACTCGGAAGGGCAGCAATGAAGGGCTTAGAAAAGATCCTCAAGTGTAAGGATGTGTCCCTGGAGACCAAGACCAAGATCATCCACACTCTTGTATTCCTGATCACCATCTACGGCTGTGAAAGTTGGATGGGAAAGAAAGCTGACAGAGAAAACATTGATTCGTTTGAAATATGGGGCTGGAGGAGAACTTTGCAGATACTTTCTGGACTGCCAGAAATATGAACAGTTGGGTCTTAGAGCAAATCAAGCATGACTTTTCTCTGGAGGCAAAAATTGCAAAACATAGGCTATCCTACTTTGGAGACACCTCTCGCTGGAGCACCATCCATTCCAGCAGGGGAGGGAAAGAGAGAAAGAAGTACAGGAGTGACAGCAATCTCAGAGACCGCACCTACAGGTTCCCTCAAGGAGGGCCAAGAAGGAAGAGCCATTGAGGGTCCGAGGAGGGGATGGGAGAGTTGAAGGAGCGTCTGGGAAAGGTGGGAAAGGATGGTAAAGAGAGGGACCAATCAAAGAATGAAGGAATGGGAAAAGGGCAAGTGAGACAGAAGTAATGATAGTAAAGGCGGGAGAAAGCGAGAGTAAGGGGGAAAATACTACCAGGGTGGGGATGGATCTGGTTGGAAAACCCATGGACCCATAAGTGGGAGAGATTGATGGTGCTGAGAGAGGAAGCTGATCACAGGTGGAGAGCAGCCATTCCCCCGAAACCATCATATTGGGGAGCGACTGCAACCAGAGAGTGGAGCCGAGAAGAAAAGGAGAGGGTAGAACAAGAAAGGGGAGAAAGAGCAGAATGGCGAGTGCAAGAGAGGAGGAGGAGGCCGAGGGCTTTGGGAACCTGGGAGTTCATGGAACCTGGGGAGAGCACGAGGCAGGAAGAATACCTGTGAGAGGTGTCCGTGCCACCCCTGTTGCCGCTTTCGATGGGGACGATGGTGAAAGACTGGCAGCCGGTAGAGCAATCGAGACCTTGGAACCTTAGTTATAGGAACCTGGTTGTTAAAGAGGAGTGGAAACCCTTTTCAGCCCCTTTGGAAGAAAAGGAGGAAGACAACGTTCAAATTGATATAAACAGTTTTATTGATGTTCCTAAAATAAATGTGAAGGCTTTACAACTTGAATCTGTCCGTGTCTGAATCTGTGGGACCCCAGGAGGAGGAGGAGGCAACTGGATTCACAGAATCTGTCTGTGTCTGAATATGTGGGAACCACAGGAGGAGGAGGAGGCAACTGGATTCACAGCATGAACCCTTACAGAAGGCAAGATTTTGTAGAAAAGACAATAATGCTGGGAATTGTGGAAGGCAGTAGGCAAAGAGGAAGATCAAATAGGAAATGGATTGACTCCCCAAAGGAAGTTACAGGCTTGAGTTTACAAGAGAAGTTACAGGCTTGGGGTTTACAAGAGCTGAGCAGGGCTATTGAGGACGAGACATTTTGAAGAGCTGTTGTTCATAAGGTCATCATAAGTTGGAGGCAGTTTGGCAGTAAATAACAACAGCACTCCTTTCTACCACATGTATACATTATACCCATGTTTTAAATTAATATGCATTTAATTAAGGAATCATAATAAACCATAATTACAGGCGGAAAAACTCATTTCACACATTGCCAGATACACACCTGCTGATTTACTATAAGTTTATGTACATTCTTCCTATAGTAGCACCTTGTTTAAAAAAAACAAAATGCAATAAAATCTACTACTGGAAAGAGAAAGGCAGAATTATTTAAATATTAAGAAAAAAACTTTTGAACAGATCTGTGATCCAGACACTGAAATGTTAACATTTGCATTTCTCTCTGTAATCTGAAACTTAGCTGCTTATGTAGTACTTTTACCTTCTGTTGCCTGTCTGAGTGCCAACTTTTCTCCCCAAGGTGTTCACTGACTAATGTGTTGGTCTGGAGCCAGAATATTTGATAAATGTCTATTTCAAGGCAGCTCTTCTGCAAGTCTTAATTAAACTTTAATGTCAAATGGAAGTTTACTTATAAATCCTCCTAGGTACCGTTTGATTGCGAACGTGATTAGGAAACATGAGGTGGAACATAAGATAGACATGTTCACTCATGCGCACATGTCCTGCCTTGCGCTCTCTGTGACAGAGAGCTAAAAGATGAGGGGAGGTCTTATGGAGCAGGAGATGGTTATAAAAGCGGAATTAAACAGATACACTTAGCAATGGGTGTTAAAATAGCAGGAACAGAACGGGCAAACAAAGAAGGCATTCATTGCTAACGATATGTGACTAAGCAGTTCCAGTAAACACAAAAACTCCAATGGAGACCAATGAAAGGAGGGATAAAAAGAGTGTGGTCAAAGACTGAGGGTGACTAAAGAATGCTATTTGCCTCTCTCTCTCTCTCTCTCTCTTTCTCTCTCTCTCAAGCCGTAAAATCCCCAATGCCTTTGGGTTTCTTATTTGCTCGGAGGGGGTGGTGGTGCTGGAACACATCTGGCTGCGCGGCCGTGCCGAGATGCCGGAGCGATCGGGTCACATTGCTGAGCTCCTGGTCTTCGCCCAAGTCATTTTGGAGACCACAACATTTGGCACAATTTTTTTAAAAAAACGAAAAGACTGTATTCCTCCCCCCACCCCCGAGGTGGTCAGGCTGACAGAGTTGTTTGTGCATGCACCCAGCTTAGCGGGAACCTTGTAAGCACCTCCCACTTCCTCATCAGATGAGAAATAATAATTGGGTGGAGAATAGCAAAAATTCCCCTCATAGTTTAAGAGGGAAACGGAGAACATAGAATTTGTATTACAGTGGGGTCTCGACTTACGAACTTAATCCGTATTGGAAGGCAGTTCTCAGGTCGAAAAGTTCTTAAGTCGAATCTGCATTTCCCATAGGAATGCCATTGAAAACCATTTAATCCGTATCTGCTCTTTTCGTCCATAGAAACTAATGGGAAGCTGCTATTCCGCCTTCTGCCACTAGAGGGGGATATTTTTTCTTTTTTCCTTTTAACCTAAGATGACTTAGCTTTCATATCATGTCCTTCTCATCTAATCTCATGAAGACACAGAACCAAACTACTCTGGAAAGAGCTCCTCCGGATGCCTGGGACAGAGTCGTTACCTGTTCAGGCACAAGAAGCGGAGATTCATACGCCCATTTCTGAGTATTATCCTGCCTGTTTTCCAGGGTGCTCAAGCAAATGTCCAATGTTGCCCATCACCACCAAAAAACATTCAATCTAAAGCTGTCGTTTTTTGGCTAATAGCCATCGTCTGAGACACATCAGACTGAGATACAGTGACAGACCCCAAGTCACCCTGGTGAGTCTGGGTCTTTCTGCTCCCATCTACATAAAACGTACAGTGGTGCCTCACTTGACAACATTAATTCGTTCCAGTGAAATTGCTGTAGAGCGAAATTGTCATTTTAAAAAAACCCATTGAAACGCATTAAAAACCAGTTCATGCATTCCAATCCACGAAATACCTGCTCATCCAGCGAAGATCCTCCATAGGGCATCCATTTTCCGGTGCCTGTAGAGCAAAAAATCAGTCCTAAAAACAGCAGGGGGCCATTTTGCACAGCAGCGGCCATTTTGAAACCCGACGATCAGCTGTTGGAAAATTGTCGTAAAGCGAAAAATCGGTTCCCAAAGCAGGGAACCGATCGTTGCTAAGTGAAAAAAACCCATTCAAACATCGTTTTGCGATCGCAAAAACATTGTCATGAAGTGGATTCGTCGTTATATGGGGTAATCGTTAAGCGGGGCACCACTGTACAGCAGACACATCTTTACCACTTGGCAAGGCGATACAGGCAGCCAGATTATCTGGGTTTCAGAGAGTTCAAATCATCCGATAATTTGGTAGTCCCAGCTAAGCAACTTATCAATTAGCTACCTGGTTACCACAGTAAATGACCACTTGCCAAACAATGATTATGTTCACACAAAGTTCAATATGAGCTGTGCAAGACTGCAGGGGGAAATCAATTTAAATAAGCAAGGTGACATTCCAAGATGGGTCTTCTTAATGCACAGACCATGGAAATGGACGAAGGCAGCCCCTTGCATTTCACTGGGGATTACTTTTTATCTTCTGTGGACATCAGAGTTAGGAACAAATTCCAACTCCACTTAAGCTTAGAGGAAACCTAAACACATTTATTTTATATTTGAGTAACTTGAGCTTTGGTTGTTCGTGTTTATTTTCTTCGCTGCGGCAAATCTACATTAACGTAATATATTCGTTCCCCATAGGCCCCATGAAATGAAATCTTACCTTGCGGTGGGAAATATGAAGACATTGCTCTTAAACGTCTCTCTGTGCAATTCTGGGAGCGATGCCTATCAGACTGCCCTCCACATCCAGCTCCCGAAAGGTCTTTATTTCACCAAAATACTAGAGCAGGTAAGAACATGTTTCTTTGTGTGTGTGTTGTTTTGCTTTGCTTTGTTTTGATAAAATGATTATCTGTACTCTTCCCCCCCCCCATGCATCTGGCTATCAATAAATGGGACATTTTTGCAATTTTCCTTCCCATCTCTCCAGCAGTGATCGCCCAAGGAAACCACCTAAAGCAACTGGGGACAATAATGAACTCTCAGCCAGGTGCAAAGGGGTGGGTGGGTGTTGGGGTGGGGGCTCACCTAACCCCAAAGTGGTGAATTTCTCCCTTTTCCCCTCCATGGGCCAGAGTTGCCAGTTCTCTCTCATTCGTCAGATTCCTCTGTCCTCTGTGTTCTCCACAGTCAGAAGAAACTGCACAAACCACAACAAACCAGCACCCTCATGAGACAAGCTGCTATTTTCTCTTTCAATGTCCTCGTGGCACAGTGGTTAAACCGCTGTACTGCAGCCAAAACTGTGCTCATGACCTGGGGTTCAAATCCTAGGTAGCTGGCTCAAGGTTGACTCAGCCTTCTATCCTTCCGAGGTCGGTAAAATGAGTACCCAGCTCGCTGGGGGAGCAATGTGTAGCCTGCATAATTTAATTGTAAACTGCCCAGAGAGTGCTTGAAGCGCTATGGGGCGGTATATAAGCAGCACGCTTTGCTTTTTTTGCTTTGCTTCTGCCCATCTTTTTAAAAAGTCACAATTGCACCAGGTCACTATGTTAACACTGGAGGTTATTTTACACGGCTTCCAACAGCTATTTAGCAACTGTTTTGAAAATAACTCAGAAAGTATTTTACTGATTGTTCTGAAAGAGAAATAGTTCACTAAGCCCCTGCCTTGAAAATTTCTGTTTTGAAAGCCTTGGAAGCAAATGGGAAAGGGGAGACTTCATATGTATGTAGTACTTTTAATTATTCTACACTTTATGTAGGGAAATGGACAGAAACAGCCAACTGAGAACGATTTTACATGCTACTGTACTCTGAGATCCTGCTGGGAATTTAATTTTCATGGGTGTGCCCAGCGATTAGCTGTTTTTTTTAAAAGGACTGTTCACATAATTTAGATTGACAGTAACCATGCTGGGGTAACTGAGAGTTATTTTCACCAGAGGATTGTAGACAGCTTTTCATATAAACAACTAAGTGCACAGGTAGAACCCCCTCGTGATATGCTTTTTTGACAGCAACTGTGTTTGAGCGGAACAGGCGCTGTCATTTTTAACTTAAGCTTGCTCAAATGTAGTTCTTAAGTGGACTGACAATGAGTTTATAGCTAGAAAGACATCATTTTGATATCCAAGGGAGGAAATTATACTTTAGCGTCTAAGTAGTTGAAGTTAATCAGTCTTGTTAGCTGCATAGAGAGGATCAAATGGAATAAAAGGGCATTAAAAACAGTGTATTGAAGGCAACTTGTTAATGAACCTGACTTTCATTTATATATGAGCCTCCTGTGCACAGAGCCAGCCTGTATGGCCTTGGCCAGCTGCACAATCGAGAGACATCCCCAGAAGAAAGGAATGATAAACCGTATGAGCCTCCTGTGTATGTGTATGTATGTATGTATGTATGTGTGTGTCTGTGTATGTATGTATGTATGTATGTATGTGTATGTATGTGTGTGTATGTATGTGTGTGTGTGTGTGTGTATGTATGTATGTGTATGTATGTATGTACGTACGTATGTACGTATGTACGTGTATGTACATATGTACATACACATGGACACGTCTGAGCCGACCTAAATGAGCTAATGGAAATCCATCATATGATGTTGCTTTAAAGAAAATGACAGAAAATATGGGGCTCTTGCTTCAGATTGGCACCATGGCCCGGCTGTTAACCTTATTTCCCCGGATCATTTTCCAAAGGAATATTTCACCATAACTGCTGTTTGCTTTGTTCAAGGAAGCCCTGGAGTCACTGGTTCAGATTGGCACCATGGCCCTGCTGTTAACCTTAATTCTCTGTATCATTTTCCAATGAATATTTCTCCATTCACTGCTGTTTGCTTTGTTCAAGGAAGCCCTTTGTTAGAGGGAGGCAGTCCTCCTCCTCCCCAACACACACTTTTTTTTTGGACTTTGTTTCTTTTTTGGACAAAACTGTAATGCATCTTGCCAAGTTTTGTCGCTGATGCTTTAAAAGAGTATTCACCATAACTGCTGTTTGCTTTGTTCAAGGAAGCCCTGTCCTCAGCACTGTAGTCTTTGTTAGAGGAAGGCGGTCATCTTTCCAGGTTTTGTTGCTGATGCGTTTAAAGAATATAACTTTGGCAAAAATCCATATTCTTCTTTTCATTGCTGCTCTTCTACTTTGTTCTTCTTGTTGTTCTTTTCACAGGAAGAGACCCAGATACATTGTGAAGTGTCTGAAAAGGACGGTCAGGGAGTGCGGCTTGACTGCAGTGTGGGGTATTTATATGTAGATCACCTATCAAAGGTAAACAAACCAGTTCTCAGGATCACAGTGTTGATGGGAAGGGAGGCAGCTCCAGTGTTGCATCATGTTGTTGTTGTTGTTTAGTCGTGTCAGACTCTTCATGACCCTATGGACCAGAGCATGGCTCAAACAAGTGACCCTATGGATCATCAAGCCCAGACCCCTGTCAAGGAAACTGGGCCTGATGAATCAAACTCCCAACCTCTCACTCTGCAGCCACAGACCTCAGCCACTGAGATAGCCAGCAATTCCTTTCTTTCTTTTTTTGTCTGTGGTTAACACATAGCCTTTAAAATGGGACTGGGTTTTTTCTCACTATCATCTGTGCTGGCATACGTTTGGTAACAACTCCATCTCTCTGGTAAGAGAAATTTGCAGAGAAATAAGACCAGAAGAACAGTTCATTCGGTCAGGGTGAATCCTTTACTGCTGATCGGGATGTTGGTGCATCTGTGGGTGCTGTCACAGGCAATGCTTAACATACCTTTGGCTTTTTTTAATCAAAGAAGCATGTAGAGTCAATGCAGGCCCCAAAATTGAGAAGAGGAGGAAACAAGGGCATCAATATAGTTGACCGTGTCAGGTTCACTTAGGAGAAAATAAATTGTCTTAAACTGCATAGTACTGTACCTATGTCCAAGTGTGCATGTTAAGGATTAGGCTGATGAGTTATGAAGGCAACGTACAATCAAAATGTCAGTAGCATCGTTTCCAGTGATGTTGACATCATTGGCTGAAATCCTTTTGCGCAGTTCTGTATGTAAAACAGTGATGCTGCTACCATACAAAGAAAGCCCCACTGACTAAAGGCAAATTGCTGCTGATTAAAAGGGGGGTTCGGAGTGTGTGCCACTCATACACAATGCAACAAAGTCATGGGCACCCCGAAATTGCCAGAAGATCTGCTACTGCTGTTGCTGTGATCACCATTACACACACACACAGGACTCTGTAACGGGAATTCAGCCAATATATAAAATTACATAAATATAAAATGAGGGGGGATACCTAAGCATTAATTTAACCCTGAAATGTTTCACTTCTTCCACAGATGGATTTTAGTTTCGTATTGGATGCAAGCTCCCTTAGCAGGGCAGGAGATGACCTCTGCATCAGTCTTAATGCAACCTGGTAAATAATATTTGCTGCAGATGGTGTTCGTGGATTAATATTATCTTTGCATTTGAAAGAAAGAAGGGGGAATTAAGCAAGGAGTTACTAGACTGGAGGAAAGCCTGTCTTCTGTAATCTGTGGAAGTCCCACAGGATGCAACTGAAAGCTCTTTAAAGTCTTTTTCTTTGGTTAAAAACAAACCCCTAGGGTTCCAAGACAAATGGAGGGCACTCCTCCCCTGAAATCGGCGGGAATAAACCTGCTTACCTTGGGCTAGATCGCATCAAACGTCGCGGCACTGCACATTCCATGTTATCTCTAACCAAACATCGCGTTCTCTTGTGTTGCTTTGTAATGTTCATTTTCTTCCACAGTGAAAATGAATGGGACAATGACCTCCTGTCGGATAATAGCTTAATTTTAACTTTACCCCAGAAGCATGAGGTTGAGCTGAATATTCATGGGTAAGCTAATGAATTTGCTTCTGAAGTGGAATGCGACAGACAGGACATCAAGGAAGCCAACGTGGCTCTAACTGTTTTTTAATTGACTGTACCTTGCTGTGCTTCTATTTGTACCTTAATTGACCTCAGTGCTTTTCTATAGAAAGGCAATGTGAAAGCTTTGCAAATAAATATAATGGTAGCAATATACTGAGATGAGATGCAGAACTCACACAGTAGAATATATCAGAAAATAGTAGGTGCAAAGCTGAAACTTAATTAACTAACGAGATTCTTATTACTAAGCAGGGTGTTAATTTGCGTGATGTTTCTGTTCCTGGTAAATTCTTGCTTTTAATTAATGAACTAAGAAAAAATTCTAAATCTGCCAGTTTAACTGCAACTATCATTCGATATATGCAGTATTTTAAAAGTTTCTTCCAATGAAGCTTTATTAAGATTTCTGTAAATTGTTTTAACTCTGAATTTCTTAGAAACACTAGGGCTTAGAATATTGAGTTATTCAGGTGATGGAGGTAGCCGTGTCAGAAAGAAGGATGTATACAGTGGTACACAGTAGACTTTAAAGCAGGTATAACTCAGGATTGCAAGGGGCTTGATACATGAAGGGGGTCAGTGTGCAGAACATACGTTGCAGGCTTCAGGTTCAGTCCCTGGAATCTTCAAGGATAGCTTTGGAAAGAATCTGTGTGAGGTGCTGGGGTGCCCCTCTGTACTGCCAGTCTCTATTGTCAATCAGTATAGACCAGTGGTTCCCAACCTTGGGTAAACCCCAGTTCTCTTGGACTAGAACTCCCAGAAGCCTTCACCACTAGCAGTGCTCGCCAGGGTTTCTGGGAGTTGCAGGCCAAGAGGACCTGGATTACCTGGGGTTGGGAACCAGTGGTATAGACGAATACTGAGCAAGATGGTGTAACCCGTTGGTCTAGCTCCCCATAAAAGAACTTGATCATCTTTTAGAGTGAGTGAACTCATCTGTGCTTGCACCACAAGTGCTGCTGTTCTTCGTTTTCTTTTAATGTGCAATTATCTAACATCCTGTCCTTAGAATGGAGGAAGTGTGTGCTTGCAACCAGTTTAACAAAGATACTTTGTTTACTGTTTCTTTCTTAAAAAAAAAAATTGTTTCTAGGTTTGTGACGCCAACATCGTTTGTTTACGGACCCAGCGAAGAAGATTCACCTTTTACTTGCATGAAGGACACAATCAACTTTACTTTCCATGTAAGAGATTTTTCTTTACAGGCACTGTTCTCTGTTTTCACTGCCTTTTGAATGTGTGAATTAAATGAAAATGAAATTTAAAGTGAACAAAGCATAAAAGAGTTTTTTTTTTCTTTCCAAGCTAGCAAGTTAATTTGATTTAAATAAACTACACTTTCCAGTCCAATACGAGTATGTTTCTTCTCATAGGACTGTTTCAATGTATCTTTCCCATTTTTTTCTTTAAATGTGATTTATTGTGACACAGTTGCTTTCTAAGGTTAAGTGAATAAGAAGGACAGCTTAAAAAACTGAGTTACAAATAGCAGATTGAATGAAGTGAACACATTTATTTGCAATAAGTGGAAACACCCATTTTGTACAAGGGGTTCTGAGCATTTTGGCTCTTTGTTTTTCATCTTTTACCAGACTTCTAGAGCTATGAATGAAGAGGGACAAGGATTATAGTAGATTTTATCCATGAAAGAGAGTTAGCTACGTGAAGGTTAAATGTTAGGAAGGAATGACTGGCAGTTACAAGGACTTTTTGCAATATTTGTCTTTTGTGGTTCTTCTTTGTGGCCTCTGAATCACATTGTGGGTGATCTGTGCCTACGTGGAACCTCTTCTGAATATTCTAGAGCAGCGGTCCCCAACGTTTTTGGGACTGTGGAATTCTGAGGAATGTGGGGCGCCCACCACGTTTGTGGTGGGGGAGCACATGCACATGCGCCAGCAGCGGTCCCCAATATTTTTGGGACTGTGGAATGGCTGGGCCTCTGAGGAATGTGGGGCACCCACCATGTTCATGGTGGGGGAGCACATGCACATGCGCCAGCACCGGCATGAGTGGTCCCCCACCCCTTCACGCATGGACAGGAACGCCTGCATGCCCTCGTACGCCCACCCAACCCTTCAAATTCTCAGATTTGAACCTAGCCATAACTATATGGCAGTGTGGACAGACTGTAGGCCTTGAAATATACAGCCTAGTTAGAGCATGGTACCTGAACGTATCTTGCAAATATTAAAACATAGAAACATAGTAAAACCAGTAAAAAAAATCAGATATTGGCTCAGAATTTTGAAATCAAAATTATCTGAATTCTGGTATTTGTTAAGTTTTGGAAGAGTGTTCTGGTTTGACTCCTAGTTTGAGATACATTTCAGCCTTATTCATGACTTCATTTATTCTTCAGGTCAGTAATCCTGGACTAAGTTTGGCTCCGGCTGTAGACCTGATGATACAGATACCCAATTCTTTCGTGCCAAGAGACGACAAGCTGTTTAATGTTCTGGATGTCAAAGTATGCTATTCCTTTATTTGGAGTTCAATATGGGACACAAAGTTTTGAGTTTGCCAGGTGTTAATGCCTTTCATAAAGTGAGCTAACCGTACACATTATAATTGAGTTGATAAGGAAGAGGGGAACAATGCTCAGGTAGCAGAAATCAAGGACAGCATAGCCCTAGGACCTCTGTGGCCAATCTGACAGATCACAACTGATGAGGAAGGGAGTAGCATGGGGTAAAGAAAGGCAAATTAGAACAAGCTGGGGAACAAGACAGGTGAGCAAGAGGACCTGTGAGCATCTTCCCTTGCCAATCAGTTGATCAGACTGCAAAACTGCAGCTGGACCATATGGTCTTCTGGAGGGAAGTGGGAAGCAGATGATCCCCAGTGGTTGTTTATACTATCGGTTCCACCACCTTGCCTTTAAACTACCTTAAATTATTGTTTGGTTAATTTTATGTTGTTTTGCGTATGGTTTAAATTTTTTTGTTGTTTGTTTTTTAATATAGCTGTTATGTTTCTTGTTTTTAAATTGCCGTTTATTATGTTATAATGTTGTAAACCACCCAGAGTGCCCTTGGCAGCCAGGTGGGCAGTATAAAAGTCTAATTAATTAATTAACCTTCTTGGCTGGGGGGGGGGGTTTGCCTTGAAGCTACTGGTTGGTGACCTGAAAAGCCTGCGGTTTCCTCCAATCTTCTGTCATGACTGGCTGAGTTAAGGGCATAGGGCCTTTTATGCGACTGGTGTGGGCATGAAGACCTGCATGTAGCAGATACCGTGGGTCTCTTACCGTTTTGTCTGTGGCAAGAGCATCCTGTTTACCCAGGCCTCTTCATGTCCTTCCCGCTCCCTAAGAGATGGCACGGTGAATCTAAAACTCCCTGCTAGGGCTCAGAATCTTCCTCTAGATACCCTGTACCCATTATTTATGCTGACACAGAGGAACTGCACTGGGTGCACTTTTCTTTCCAAATTTGCCCTCTTGCCTGACTCCCAGCATAGCTAAAATGTAAAAGCTTAAGAGTAGCCATAGATGCTAGATCTGTCCTCTCTGCTTCCAAAATGTTTTATGTTAAATTCTCATCTTCTGGCCAAGTTTTAAGAACCAAATAAGTTCTGTCAAAATACTGTGGTTATTTGTGAAGGGTGCCAAGACTATTTTCCGGCTTTTTGCCTGTCTCTAATGCATTGATCAATTGGCCAGAGGCAGAGAGATCCAATAGATATTTGTTCATTTTCAGCTGAAAGCAAGCAAATGGTCAGAACGTCAGTCGCAGAAACATGCGAAGAAGCAGCGTGCCACGCTCATTACATAATACACTTTTAAAAGCTTCTAAACCAGTAAGGGGAGGCAAAGGATGGGGAGCAGGAGGAGGAAAGGAAGGTTTGCAGACATCATCCCTCCCATTTCTGGGCAGTTGGACTCCCAGGTCCCTTATCACATTCCCGGTTAGACTAGTTAGTTGCAAGCAACAGCAATTCTGGCAGGCTCTCCCCCCCACCCCCCCGTCTATTCTTCTCTGCTAAGCAGAAACCCTGACACATTAGGTTTATACATTTATATAGCAAAGCAATTTACAGAAAGCCAGGTGGCTATGGTTAGGCTAAGATATATATTATATGCATTAATTTGACCCCTTCATTTGTAATTACAATTGTTTTGATTGATGGTTCATGCGTGCGGTAGACATTTCTCCTTTTCTTAGCATTTGAAAACCAGGTTTAATTGTGCTTTCTCTCATTTTTAGACAACCAGTGGACATTGTTTCTACAAAAACTATACACGAAACTGTACTTTACCAGAAAAAAATGAGAATAAGCTGCAAGAATTCATTACATTCCTTACAAAACCTGACAAGAGACTAATGGTAATTTGTCTACTTTATTCATAAGTGCTTTTTTTCAGATATTTTAGAAAAGTATTTTATTAAAGAGAGGACATTATATTCATGTGATCTGCTTATAACTACTGAAAAATCTCTTTTTTGCCATAAAACTAGAAGGTGTAGAAACACAGATGTGTTATAAATATAAATATATTTCCTGTGTCTAGCATTTTTGCCAGTTTTCAAGAAATAATCATAGATAAGATGCAAAACAACAACTATGACAACAATAACAAACTTGAACAACCAAACCACATTTACAACTTAAGTCACTGACACTCTGCGGTACTTGAAAATGATAAGAGGGGCAGAATGTACAACTTCTTTTTTTAAGTTTTATTTTGTAGGGTTGGTGGGGACAGGGACATGGGATTAAATGGATTGTAAATCACCATGAACATTTTACAATATTCATTCCTATCTATTACATTTCAAAGATACATAAGTTTCTGGTGTAACCAATTTATAATACATATTCTAATACTAAATTGATCTTAGGCTTTCAATTATCAAATATTAATTTATATTCTGTTTCTAAGCCAATCATAAAATTTATGCCAACAATCTTCATGATTTGTATTTCTTGTTGAGTCTAATCATTCTGATAGTTTGTATGACTTCTGATCAAGGTCTTTAAAATATTGTACTGTGTTTCTCTGAAAATAAGACAGGGTCTTATATTAATTTTTTGCTTCAAAAACACATTAGGGCTTATTTTAAGGGGAAGTTTTATTTTTTTCATGTACAACAATCAACATTTATTCAGATACATCCCTGTCATCTTCTTCTGGTTGCTGCACAATGGCAGATGGTGGGGTTTCACTTAACTAGGGCTTAGTTTGGGGGTAGCTCTTATATTACAAGGGACATGGTGGTGCTGCAGGTTAAACTGCAGAAGTCTCTGTGCTGCAAGGTCAGAAGACCTGCAGTCGTAAGATCGAATCCACATGATGGAGTGAGCTCCCGTCGCTTGTCCCAGTTCTTGCCAAAAGCATGCAAAAGCAAGTAGATAAATAGGTACCACCACGGGGGGAAGGTAACGGCATTCTGTGTCTAGTCGCGCTGGCCACGTAACCATGGGTAGATTGTCTTCAGACAAATGCTAGCTCTATGGGTTGGAAACGGAGATGAGCACCACCCCCTAGAGTCAGTCACAATTGGACAAATTGTCAAGGGGAACCTTTACCTTATATTACGAGCATCCTGAAAAATCATAGTAGCGCTTATTTTCAGGTTAGGTCTTATTTTTTGGGGAAACAGGGTAGGACAGGTGCTGGCTCTTTGTGCTCCTCTTTACAGTGTGGCCTTAGGGAACAAACCACCATTGGTTTTACATCATCCAGTTTCTGGGTTCTTGTTAGGTGCAAACCAGAAATCAAACACTGTACTGGCTCTCTGTACTCCTCTTTACAGTGTGGCCTTGGGGAACAAACCACCATTGGTTTTACATAATCCAGTTTCTGGGTTATTGTTAGGTGCAAACCAGAAATCAAACACTAACAACAACACCAGAAATAACTTTCCAAATTAATCATATTATCTCTCACTAAACCTACCCCAAATGTGTCAGAGATATCTGCTCATAGAAAGTATTCTGAGGGCAATAAATATAGGTTGCATTTTTTTTTAAAAAAAATGAAATAAAATTAATTGCTGCACATAACATCATGTATGCTCTCTCTTTTCTGAAGTACTGCATGAAAAACGACACCTTCTGTTTGCAAATATTTTGCAACTTTGGAGACATGGAAAGTGGAAAAGAAGCAACTGTTCAAATTCATCTGGAAGCAACCCCTTCTCTATTAAGCATGGTAAATATTTTATTCTTTGAAATCAGATCAGATCACACTGTAGGTTGTAGATGTTAGGGACATGCACAACAACATTTTTCATATTTCTTTCATTTGGGAGCCTTTTGTGGGGGTGCCTCTTTAGTTTTCATAAAAGAGCAAGGATGTACCCCAACAACAAATACTACTACTACTACTCACCCAGCACATTGGCCCACTGGCACAGCCGTAAAGTCCAACCCTAGCCCCCACCCCAGCAGAAACACTCACAAAAACCATTCCCACCCACCCCCACAGTTTTAACAGAATGAACAGTAAATTAACAAAGTGACTTTTTTTCAGAAATCAAAGAGGTTGGAGGGTGGCTCTTTAGCTTTCATAAAAGAGCCAGGATGTGCCCCAACAACAAATACTACTACTACTATTCCTCACCCAGCGCATTGATCCGCTGGCACAGCCGTAAAGTCCAACCCAAGCCCCCACCCCAGCAGAAACACTCACAAAAACCATTCACACCCACCCCCACAGTTTTAACAGAATGAACAGTAAATTAACAAAGTGACTTTTTTTCAGAAATCAAAGAGGGATAGGAGCCCCATGCATGCACACAGAGGGGGGAAATAGCCAAAGAAACATAGACAGACAGCCCCCCTCTCCCAGAAAGCAAGGAAAGCAGAAAGCAAAGAAAGGCAGGAAAAAGAATCAAAGCTTGCCAAACTGAAAAAGATTTCTCTCCCTTCTCCCACTTGGTGCCTTCTCTTTTCACTGAGTCTGCCAAGCAGAAGCAGACAGAAGGAGACAGGCCAAGCCCAGACAGCTAAAATCAGCCAATAAAAGAAAGGACCAAATTTTAAAAAAAGAGGAAAAAAAGTTTTGCCCCAAAAATCAGGGTGAGGGGATAAAACACCATAATTCCAAGGAGGCATGCAGGCACATGAAGGCTGCCTGGCAGTGGCAAAAATACTTCAAAGAAATTCTCTTTTAAAAAGGCAAAATGCATGGATTCAAGGTGGAAGCACGGCAGGCAGCGGGCAATCCAAGATGGAGGACACTAGTAGCTCAGCAAAGATCACTCTTCCATGGATTCCAGGCAATTTAAATTCAAAATTCCCACACGTGTGGACATTCTGATTGGCTGACTGCTGATAGCCTTCATAACACTATTGGATGAAAAAAATTCTCAGATGATTTGACAAAGGGCGAAAGGGCACCAAAAGATTAAATGAAAGAGGAAACACAAAAGAAACCCCAAACATTTGTGAATTCTTTTCATAACAAGCTGTCTTTTGGCAATTGCCAAAAGAGCATGAATTAAACAAAATAGAGCTGCCTTCACGTTTTGCCTCTTCTGTTAGGACACTCTCCGTAATGGATGTATTTTTCTGATTATTGTGTCCTCCCTTAGGGCAAAATCCAAGCAAAGTTTTGCACTTTTAAATTCTGCCGGTCATAGAAGCTTATGCAAATAGTTAACGCTTTATACAGTCAAAAAAGATGAAAAGTGCTTGACATTGGCTGGATTGTGTCCTAAGAAGTTTCCCACTCCTGCATTGCTTAATGTCGTAAAGTATTCCATCGTTTTTTTTTAATTGGATCCCTTGTGTAGCATTTGCTTTCAGACCATGTGACATATCTTTTAAAACCAGGATGAAGCTTCAGCACTTATACTTGAAGTAAAAGCAAAAGTTTCATCGGAGCAAAGTCCCAGGGTCATTGAGTTGCACAAGAGCAAGCAAAAAACATACGTAAGTATCCTTAAGTAACATTTTGTTAGAAAATATTATTTCTTGACTGGAGGGTGAAGATCTTAACCTTTTTTAAAAGTATATCTTTAGCTTTCTTCAACATCATCATGAACGGTCTTGATAAGTTCTCCGGATGTTATACAGTGGCTAGCTGGTATAACCAGCTGTGGAAATTTCAATGGTTTGCTGCAACCTCTTCAGTGTGAAGCGGTGGGCAGCATTTACTAAGGCTAGTTGTAACAGCAAAAATAATGCAAGATGAAGGAGATGTGCTCCTGAAGGGGAGACCTAGGGTTGGGAGGCATATAACATGAAACAGCCTCATCACTGGCTGCTGTGAAGTCCATCTCAGGTCTGTGTTGGTCTTCATCTAGGATTTCCCTTATCAAGGGAAGAGCAGGCAATTGGCTTGTCACAGCAGCCATTTCAGATGCTGTAATAATTTCAGTTTGGGCATCAGGAGCACAACCTGTGCTATATCTGGGTCAAATACTGACATACTTCCCCACTGTCTTAGGCGGAATATACTTTTTGATTGAGTTTGTTTAAGAAGCCAATCCCTGTCATTGATATTATGATGAAAACCCAGATGCCTATAAAATCATTGTAATAGTGTAATTAGGTAAAGGTTCCCCTTGACATTTAGTCCAGTCATGTCCGACTTTAGGGGGTGGTGCTCATCCCCGTCTCCAAGCCATAGAGCCAGCCTTTGTCTGAAGACAATCTTCCGTGGTCACATGACCAGCACGACTAGACACGGAATACTGTTACTTCCCACCAAGATGGTACCTATTTATCTACTTGCATTTTTACATGCTTTCGAACTGCTAAGTTGACAGGAGCTGGGACAAGCGATGGGGGTTCACTTTGTCGCATGGATTCAATCTTACAACTGCTGGTCTTCTGACCTTGCAGCACAGAGGCTTCTGTGGTTTAACCCACAGCACCATCACGTCCCAATAGTATAATTACTAGTCAGAAATTATGAGCACACTTGGCAAATAACTTTCATGTGACCCCATCGCCACCTTCAAGTCAACCATGCCATGCAGATTAAAGCCCTGCTTGTTCTTTTTATGAGAAACATGATGTCACTGTTGTAAAAAGATTTCTGAAGTCAAGTCTATTTCTAGTATATTTATTGTACATACCTTATTGTGTGCAGGTCATCCTGGAGGGTCTTCATAATCAAAAGACAAAGACCAGTGTTACAGTGTTGTTCATTGCAACAGGTTCCATAATTGGAATTATTTTGCTATTATTTCTTGCATTTCTTTTATGGAAGGTATGTACTTCAATTTAATCCCACATATGTATATTTTTGTTTGATTGAGTCTTTATTATAGCTCATTACGAAAGCTGTCCTTGCTTTCCATTTACCATTTCTATAAAGTAAACCAGTTAATAACAATGACCAAAAATCTTATTGTATAGTTATGCTGACATAATGCAAATGGCATAATTTTTAGAGGCAAATTGCCCTGGTGAAGAAATCATTGTGGACATTATTTGTTGTGAAATGAGTTGTGTTGCACTGCTTGCAAAATATAATGTCAATGGTCATTTTTTAACTTCAGGAAATATGCCTCCAAAAGTTACACTGCTTGCTTTATGCAGGCATAATTACATAAAAGGATTTTGGCCAATGTCTAGTAAAATACACAAGTTTTATACTTGTTACTGTGACTTTACCCCTGTGTATTTGGGGAAGCAGAGGCATAAAAATGAAAGTTTAAAAAACATTGTATTGCCCTACAAAAATGTGTAGTTCAATGTCTAAAACAACCAAAAAGGCAGTACAAATACTAATTCTTTTCAGCCATGAAAAAGCTTAGTGATCTTTTCAATGTTTTCAGAAAATGATATACTATTGTGTCTTTTCATAACAATGATAATTCTGTCCAAATTCAGGTTTTATTAACATGAGGTAGTTTGCAGGTCACTCATATTTGAAACAAGAAGCAATCTTGTGGTGCCCTGAGGACTTAAATTTTATTTGACATTAGCTTTCATGGGCCCTCGTCCATTTTTTTCAATCTCCCATTCATATTGTAGAGATACTAATCATCATGTATAGAATGGAAGATACTGGGCAGTTCATCTTCTCAACAAACAGGCAATGTTGGATAGCCAGCAGAAGGCTCAGAACTTGTAAGAGTTGTGGTCCATCTGCATCTGAAAAGTCGCCCTTTTTTTGAAACATGCCCAAAAACATTTACTGCATAAAAAGATATATACTGTATACAAAATTCATGTGCCCCAATTTAGCTTAGCTTGAAAGGATGCAAAGCAGACAGTGATGCAAGCGATGAATGTGAACTGCAGCAGTATTAGTTCATGGCAGGGAGAGTGGACTGAACGTGGCATAAATAAGAGGTATCTGGATAAGTTTGGTCACCAGTTTAATTGGTTCTGAAATTCTGTATTCTAGGTTGGTTTCTTTAAAAGGAAATACAAACAGATTCCTCAGGAAGGAGATGGAAGAGAAAGCTGGAGGTTTCTAAATGGCAACCAAAATGACAACGGTGACGACTGAGAGTTTTTCAACGTAATGGCCAGTGTTTTTATCAAAGGCACGAACGGCAAGAACTATCAAACCAGGAGTGCTTCTCCTGTATAACTCAATGGAGAAACAGTTGCATCATCATTAGCTTCCTAAAATGCAAACGATAAACATTCTGAAGAATACTCGTAAAGACAAAACCATTTTGGCTTCAAATGCAAAGATGGTTCACTTAGTTCAACACTAGGGAAAAACTGATGGAAACAAAATTTACATGCAGTACTAGTGATACTTGAATTCCGTGCATTGCCTTACTACCTAGCTAAGCAGCAAATCTCGTTATAAATATAACAGCATTATCAGCAGAACTGGGACACAGCAATAAAGAGAATCTTGAGTGAGTTTCTAAAACCCAGACTGGAAAAACAATTGTTTCAATACATTCTGTGTCTGCCATGTATGAGTGAGCTGACATACTGCAACATATCACTGTGTGCCATGAAGTCGGTGCTGACTCATGGCGACCCTTTTCAGGGTTTTCCAGGTAGAGAGTAATCAGAAGTGTTTTACCATTCCCTTCTTCTGGGAGCATCCTGGGATCGCGCAGCTTGCCCAAGGCCACACAGGCTGGCTCTACTCACAGGAGACACAGTGGGGAATTGAACTCCCAACCTCTGGCTCCAGAGCCAGATACTTAGCTCAGGGTCCAGTTACACTATGAAAATGACTTTTTAAATCCATTTTTAAACTGCATTGTATATTGTTTGAGGAGGCTACCAGGGCTTTTAGAATCATTGCATTTATGGCTTTGTCCTGCACCCACCCACCCTCGCACTGGCTGCTTCTTAGTCACTCACTGCAGCAGGTTATTTTAAATATTCGTTTATATTGGACTGCAAGATTTTCCTTCAGCCCCAAACCCAGGATCCTAGCATCCATTACTTGACAAACCCCACAGGCACAATTTACACCATAAAGGCCAAAACAATTAAAAATAAATCAACTGCACCAGCAATTTAAAATAAACAGACCTCTTGCAGCTGGGTAAAATACCTCACTTTCCAACCCCCCAAAAAACACATTTCCTAGGCAAAAACAAAAAAAACACTATAAACAGCAAGTGGCTATTTTGTTTTCCCGGTGGCCATTTTGAAAATGCCGATCAGCTGTTAAAAAAGGGTCGCTTTGCCATGATCACTTCCCTGCAATCATCGCAAAGCGAAAAAACCCCATAAGGACCATCGCAAAGCGATCGCTTTTGTGATCGCAAAAACTCCATCACTAAGCGATTTTGTCGCTCAACAGAGCGATCGCTATGCGAAGCACCACTGTACTTTCCTCTGTGTTGTATAGATGAATTTTTAAAATGTATCTTAAACCTGATTCAAAAACAGATTGTGTAACCATGCCCTCACGGATCCAGCTCATATACCATCTTTTTCTGTGTATAAGACACCCCCATGTATAAGATGTCCCCCCCCCCCACTTTTCTAACCCAAAATTAAGAAATCTAAGTGGGGCTTAGCAAGTGGCGGGGAAAGCAGGGATCAACGCCCTGCAGGATCATTTTGATCCCTGCTTTCCCCTCCACTTATTTTTGTTTTCCTCAGCTTCCGTGTATAAGATAACCCTCAATTTTTAGTCTAAAGATTTTAGACAAAAGTATAGTCTTATACACTGAAAAATACGGTAAATTGTACACTAGGAAATTACCCCATTACACAATAAAAATATTGACCTCTCAGCACCTCCAAACTACATGTGGCATAACACTGTACATATTTTAGTTTCTGTAGAAGACAGTAGGTTGAGTCATTCTACTCTTCTGTTTTTGTGTCTCTCCTCTCTCCCCTCCCCGCCACCCACCCCCATGGAAGCAATAAGCTTCCATCTCCAGGGGAAAGTGCTGTGCTCACAGAAGCATCCATTCTGTCAATGGACGGTGTTAAGGCATGAGCCTGTTCAGCGGTTCTGTTTCATGGCTTCTATTGACATGCGGGGGGGGGAGGACACCGGTCACGCCGGGCTCACGTGCCTCCTTGCCTTTATGGCAGTTTTGGTTCTCCTTCATGTACTGAGGACCTCTGTGGTATGCGTAGCAGATGAACGCATGGACCCACGACAGTGCACTGTGTGACTTTTGGTTAGTTGTGATCTTTCTCCCTCAAGGGTTGTTGCAAGGATAAAATGGTATGGCGGTGAATACCCCTCCACACCTTGAACTCATTGGCAAGAAGGCAGGGGGGAGATGAGGGGGAAAAATAAAAGTTATGCAGGATGGACTGTTCAAATCCATTTGCCCAGAGTTCTAAATTCAACTAGGGTCTTCTAGGACAGAAAAGCCACCCTCACTGCAGTTCCATTTGTTAGAGATAGTGGGTTGGGGGCTGGATCTGGTCTCCTTGCCCCCACCCATTTAATTAAACTTGAAAATACTTTTTTGGGTCCATGCTCTGTGAATTCTTGTACTGTATATGCTGTCCTCAACTTGGATGCTCTTACTGGGCAGAATCTGTTGATGTCAATTTACTTTTAGGTTGCAAACCTCCCGGGGGGGGGGGCTCCATTTTCCTGGGGAAGCCTTTAGTCTCTGAAGCTCACCACCAGATCAGACAGCAGTTTTTGGCAATTAAAGACTCCCCCCACGTCCATCCACCACCCCAAGGCTCCCAAAGGCTTCCCCCAGGGCAAAAGGGAGTCTTGTTGTTGTTTAGTCGTTTCATCATGCCCGACTCTTCGTGACCACTTGGACCAGAGCACGCCAGGCCAACCTGTCTTCTAGGGAGTCTTAGGGAGAATCAGAACCTAGAAAAGGGGGGGAGGAAATTTTTAATTGATTTTTTAAAAAGTATTAATGTTGGAAGCTAAGGACATAATCAGCTTCTACCATGTAGATTTACATCAACAGGATTTTGGTCTCTGTGTGTATGTTTGCGCGGAAACCACTCTTCTGTAGACTTTGTGTCATGCAATTTCCTCTTAAACAATTCTGTTTATTCTAAAACGGTGTCAGACATGTATAGATACATTTGATCTTATTTTTTTAGAACAGAATATTTTGGTTCGTTCAATGATTAATGTCTTTTAGAATAACATTCTAAAGAGAGATGAAGTACTTGTACTTTAATCCACAGACCATTATCTGTAGAGAAGTGTTTTGCAATGTCACCAGTTATACAGTATCTCAAAGATTACATCGTTAAAGGCTCTGAAACATGGTACAAAATGATGTGGATATGTGCTTGACCAAATAGAACCATGCCTTATGAAATCTTTGTAACAGCCAGGAGGTGTTTGTTTTATGTATTGAGGATACAGTGTTCTTGGAAGGTTCGCCATTTCAGTCTGAGTGCAAGTTTTCATAACATATCCATTAAAAGGCTGGATTAATTAAAATAAATAATTTCACCAAATGGTGTGGATCCAGAGGTGGATGTGTGTTTCGCAGCTCAATTGGTGGAAAGCTAATGAAAATGGGACCATGTTGAATGGGGTGAGTTTGTTGTTTCAACTCTGGGTGGTTTACAACAATTATGCAAACAACTCCCCCCCCCCTCAAATGAGCTGAGTACTCATTTTACTGACCTCAGCAAGCTGGAAGGCCAAGTCAACCTTGAGCTGGCTATCTGAACCCATCAGGATTGAACACGAGTTGTGGTATAGGGCAATGTAAGAACCCCTCAAAGTCATATAAGGTTATATTCCATGAGCAGAAAGCAAATTAATGGTAGCTCTTTTGCAGTCTAGTTGAATACTAGTCATAAATTTGGTCAAGTTCTGCTACAAATACTGTGCATTACTGGTAGAGACTTGGGGGAGGGGATATGACAAAACTAATTTTGTCAGGTTTATCTTTCTCCCTGAAGCTTAAGTGTGTGTAACTTAACAATTGTAAGATATTTCCTAAAATTAATAAATAAATTTACCTCCTATAAAGTTGTAATTCAAAGTATAAACGTTTTTAAAAGATGACATGAAATTAAGGGTCTTTCTATATATACTTACAGAAAAGCAGCAGAATACAATCTGTTTAGAAGAGAGTTGGCCCTCAATTTCCTGATGTTTAGGAGACACTGCCTTTGGTGGTATTGCATTGATTATACAATCCTAGCTATTGGATAAAGTCCAAACATTGACACAGAATGAAGATACAAAATGCTGGGTGACTAGAACCCCGTTTATTGACTGATAAAGAGGCCTGGATTAGGACAGCCATAGAGTCATGCTGCAGATTCCCATACATGGGAATTAAAAAGGTAAAGGTTCCCCTTAACATTTTTAGTCCAGTTGTATCCAACTCTAGGAGGCGGTGCTCATCCTGTTTTTCAAGCCGTAGAGCCAGCGCTTGTCCGAAGACAGTTTCCGTTGTCACGTGGCAAGCGTGACTAGGGAACACCGTTTTACTTTCCCACCGAGGTGGTACCTATTTATCTACTCACATTTGGATGTTTTCAAACTGCTAGGTTGGCGAGGAGCTGGGACAAAGCGACCGGCACTCACTCCATCGCGTGGATTCAATCTTACGACTGCTGGTCTTCTGACCCTGCAGCACAGAGGCTTCTGTGGTTTAGCCCGCAGAGCCACCACGTCCCTTGTGCTGCTTATTTCCATCCTTCTTTTGGTTCCAAGCCTCTGAGTACTGCCCATGATTCCTCCCCCTGAGGCCAAAAACTTAGTTTATCAAAAGAATCATCTCTCACATTTCTAATATTGAGGTACCTGGTTCAGCTATGCCATGCCTGCCTTATCTTCACTTCCATCCACCATCCCAGGGCTCCCAAAGGCTTCCCCCAGGGCAAAAGGCCAGAGTAGACTATCTGTCTAGATGGGCAAGGTATAAATCTAAATAAATAAATAAATAAATAAATAA